CCTACAATTATCATCTATCACTTATTTTATTCACCAAATACATACCGAGATATAGCGCTTCAAACTCTCACAATACCGAAAAACTGCTAGAAATTCAGGTTCTTCACTAGTATATTTCATCTTCCATCATTTTCAAATGGGTATACAGGGTGTTAATAAATAAGTGTAACAACGGAAAACTGTAGATTCCCCATAAAAAAAAAAGAATGTTTTTCCTTTACGAAATTTTTCTCCGGGCTTCCGTTTTCAAGATACAATTCCATAGTAGTGTTCGATGGATACCCAAGTGACGTTGCTCATCAGAGCACCAAAGCAGCTGAAAGACGGCCGTAACACTGCCACAAGAAAAATTCTTGTCCAACGACACAAACAAGAAGAATTTCATTTCGTTGCTGATGACTCAGATGGATGGTTTTGAGGTTAAGCAGGCAATAGAAGATGCTGATGTCATGATAGTGAAAACTGCGATATCTAAAGCTTCTGACTTCGATAGTGCTACTATTATAGGTGAAGACGTAGATCTGTTAGTATTGCTGACTGCGTTGGGCTCATCTCTAAAGAACGTGTATTTCCAAAAGAGTGGGAGAGGTAATGCTCCTAGAACTTTGTATTCGTCATCATCTTGCAAATACAATACTCAGGATATTCTTTTCCTCCATGCAGTTAGCGGGTGTGACACTACATCGAACTCTTTTGGAGTGGGAAAGAAGAAAGTCCTCTCTATTTATGAGAAAAACCATTTTCTGTCTGACAATGTTAGTGTTTTCAAAGATGAAGATGCAACACCACGCCAAATTTCGGTAGCAGGAGGAAAATTTCTTGTGGCACTCTACGGTGGAAACATAGACACACACACACTGTGGACGATCTTCGCTACCGAATATTCTCGAACTCTGTGAAAAAATCCAGATTTTACCTTGCCCGATTGCCCCCTACACGAGACGCTGCCCGGTACCATTCTTTTAGAACGTATTTACAAGTGCAGACGTGGCTGGGCAACGAAAAGTCACCGTCTGTTTGCGGCTGGACTCTCACAAAACGAGGGTTGATACCCATAACAACGACCACAGATGCAGCTCCAGAAAAGTTGCTGCACATGATACAATGTAAGTGCATGACAGGTTGTAGCACCGGAGCTTGCAGCTGCAAAAAAGCAGGACTCCGGTGTTCAGCCATCTGCAAGAATTGTGCAGGAAATGCTTGTGAGAATTCGCCTGAAACCGAACTCAACGAGGAAGATACCGACATTGAGTGCGACGAGGAGGTCGTCATGGAAGAGACCATTGCTCAGGACGAAGATGCCGACCTGTCATTGGGAACAACAAAGTGAAGGCTTTTCATTTGTAATCATTTTACTCAGTTAATAAATTGAAATCTCATTGAGAAAGAGGTTTCCATTGTTCAGGTTATTGAAAGTTATTAATATACGGATATTGAAACGTGAAAGATGAAAGTTACTTGAGAAAAACGTGCATTATTCGCAGTTTTTCGATATTTGGAAGAAATTGAATTTTGAGCAACGGTTTATCGATGTAAATTGTTGAAAATTTTATGCTCTACAACTTATGTAATAGAGTATTTTTGACTAAAGTGCTTATTTTAGTATTAATAAGCAAAATACTGGAAAAAGAGGCAAACATTTTTGGTCTTTCGATTGTCCTGAAGTTTGCACAAGGTTCTCGAATTGGAAAACTTGGTTTTTACACCACGAAATACCCACTTACAACATATCAAAAGATCATCAACTTCGGACCTTTGTCCAGGTAAAATGTACCTGGTGACTGGACTATAATGGAATTAGCGGTCTAGTTAGTATAATTGATGTCGTTGGTTTCTATGAATATCGGCCAGTCCTTACACTCTTGTAACTTCCTGGAACCTCTTTGTCTCTGTGCATAGTGCAAAATATGATTTTCCAGATGATGCTTCCGTTTGGTTCGGTGGTCGCAATAGTCACACTTGAATCTCGGCTCTTGACCACAGTCGAACTTTTGGTGCGATTTCAAGGAGGTTATGTGTTGGTAGATTTTGAAGCAGCTGTTGCACTGAAAGCTTCCTGAAAAATACAGAAGTTAGAATATTTGAAGATTGGGGATAGGCAAAATATATCGATGTTTCTTGAACACTGTTGACTACCCCCAGAACATTGATATAAAAAAGTGATTTATTGATTCGCTCTTCTTGTTGAATTTTTCCCAGCCTTGTGGATGGAGAATTTGCTGATCGAACATGAACTCTCCCTGCATGTTCTGCTAACATTCTTGATGAATTAAGCAACATTTATGAATAAATCTATGAAAATCGCATTTGAGAAATTATTTTCTGCCATAGTACTTTCACACCTATGGAACTTGAATTGAAAGGATAACAATAAAGGAATTATATGTCTGTTTTCCATCAGAATGTTTATAGTTCATAGCCTACTATCTGAATCAATATCCAATAATAATTTCATAGGAGACACATTAAACATAAATGATCATAACTGAAAAACTGTACTATTAGACAATTATTCAGGTTCAATATCAATGGGGCTCAACTTCTAAATGTTCACTTTGCTGTTGTATAATTACAAATTTCTTATGATATTCTTATGATATTGCCATTTGGGGATGTTTCGTGCGCTCCAAGCGATAAAAAAAAAAAAGGCCATACAGCCAATATATGGAATAGACTACAGAGAATCTTGTAGACAACACTCTATTGAGAATAAAATCTTGTGTGTACCTTGCATTCATATTTAAAAATGCATTTTATTATTCAGGAAACAAATGCAGAATTATGATCGAAACTGTGACTTTTATACGTATCCTACCAGGCACGGTGAATTGATAAGACTTCAGAAACATTCAACTCGTCTATATGAAAATTGTCCATGAATTCTATAATCACTTATCTGACGAAATAAAAAATTTACAAAGACGAGAAAATCATTTCAAAATCAAACTCAAAGAATTTCTGATTAACGGTTGTTTTTATATAGTATCGACGAATATTTCAATCGATGAAATGCATTTCATATATTATCTTCATATACTTTGTGGTACTAGGAAAGGTAACAGACTGAATATTCTGTGTACTATGTCGTTCTGTAATATTTTCATGAATCTGTTTATAAATTGTGTGTGAATTTCTTGTTGTCTGACGTATCCTATGTCATGTCTTATGATCGTGAAGGATTCAATAAATTTTATTATCATTTATTATTATTATCACGAGATAGGTTCAGTAAATTCCAGAGAGGGAACTCATACACAGTTGAATGGTAAAATGTAATTTCCATAACTCTGAACCTCCCTCTCTGCTGAAACTGAGATACGATTCAAATGGCTATCACCGCGCGGAACCTGTTACAGATAGCTTTAGAAAATTCCATTGGAAATGAAAAAGTAACTTCTACTATCTGATATAAGTATGGTGCTTGATTATCCACGCCCAAAAATTTGTTTGGTTCTCCAGATTCTTCTAAAAGTCCATCCACCGTAAAACACCATGTTTAGGTATTGGTACAGCCGCTTCATGAAAAGATTGCTAATCCAGAACATCTGGATTTATAGATACCTCTCATATTCATGTCATTCAAGAAGGTAAAAATCATTCCTTAGAGTAGAATAGGGGTTGTTGAACACTGTATATAGGATATTTTGATCTTAGTCTCCGACTTCCTGAAACAATTGCCTGATAACTGGTCTCAGCTGCACTTTGTTTCGTTGTTTCAGTGATTCAGGAAAGAACCTTTTACGTTTGTTTTCGAGGGATCATGAATCTGCTCCATCAGAAGCGTATCAAAATAATTTGAACACTCGTTTCTATAATACATTGATCGTGAGAACCAAGAAAAATAAGGTAGATTCACTATATCTTCAAGCTCACAAAATTTATCAAATTCCAGAGAAGCTACTCCTGTAAATGCTTCACTCATACATTCTTACTTTTTTTTTATGTTCTGGTTCCCATGAAAAGGGATATCCTGTGATCATCAGAGAACATTGTGAGAACCAAGAAAAATAAGGTAGGAATTGGTATTCTTCTCAAATGTCTGGACGTTATATGCCTCGGGAAACACCTTCCTTGGCAATGTTTTCCAGAGCCTCGCTGTTCGTTGGATGAACGAGTCTTTGGAAAGAGATGTTCTGCAGGTCTCCAAAGTGACCACGAAGGGGTGCGAAGCCTCAACTCGACGGGTTAATCTCGCGGGGACTGCCAAAGGAGGTAACATTGTTGATATTTCAGAAGAGCATCGTCCATGAAAATATCTATGAAAAAGAGTCAGATCGCCAACTTTTTTACGGTGTTCCAGAGAAGTGAGTGAGTTTGTGAGCAAGACACACCTATTCACGAAATTATCGAGTATGGTAGTCTACATGTTCATTTGCTTCGAAAACCAGAGAGAATGATGACGTGCTGTTATATTGGGATCTTTTACTGGTACTCTCGGGTGTACGATGTTGAAATACCATGAATATCATAAACATGATTGTTATTGGAAGGATAAACACCATCAACTTGCCATATTGCCTGTTCTGTCCCATGTTCTAGTAACCACATATGCACTTGATGATAGTTAGTAATTTCTATCAGACAACTAGCAACTTCAATCGATGAAATAATCAGTTGACTCACAAAGTTCTAGTTGTCTTCGTTGAATGCAGTTCGTATTCTGAGTACAATATTTCACCATCAAGGTGAACCAATTGGTATACCAACCAATGCTATAATTTATCCAAAGTCAGTTGGAGCTTTTGTCAGTTGTACAATGAATTTGTTCTGCCTTGTGCAGACTCCAACGAACTTCAGAAGAAGCGAAACCGCTCTGCGTACCTATATGTTTTTTCTCGAGGTGCTCTAACTGACTTTGGCCACTATACGATTCAAATCCAATAAAGGTACTCTGAGAATGAGTCAACTCAAGAATGTGAACAAACATCAAGTGAACTATGGATTATTAGCGATTATGATATGTATTAGGTATCTGAAGAATGTGTGATCTTCAATTGCAGGCACCACAGCCCATTGGCGATCTAGGCTCAATCATAGCTGATGCCGCAGGATTCTCCACTGTCGACATAGTGACCAAGGCACTATCTCTGGAAGGAGTCAATGATATTATCGGTAGGACCGTGTTCGTCAATTGTCCAACTGCCCCCGGTGGTGGACGTACAGCTTGTGGAGTCGTCGGGATAGTCGATTAAGTCTTCAGTTGCTGATTGAGGATCGATGTTTTGTAATGTAATGGAATCTGAGCAATTTGTGGTTATGCGTAGTTAGAAGTCCAAAAAATATATATTGATATGTGAAAACTATCCACTGCATTCTCAATTTCTCCTCTGATAGTCATTTCTGATGTTAGGAGGAGTATCCTAATACCCTTACCTTGATTCACAAGTTGTATTTGGAGGTCAAGGGCCTCAACAATATTCCAGAGAATATGTTTTCAAGAGAATATCCAAATAAAGAGTGAATTTGAAGAAAATTCATTAGGCTCATTAGTAACAGATGTCTGCACTATCCAATATCTTTCAAAACTCGAAAGCTTCAACGAAACACTGAATCTAAACATGGAAAAATATAGACGTTGAAGTGTGGAACTGATGAAACAATTTGTTTGTTACCTAATGAATCAGCAATCTGGTATATTTGCTACCAACCAAATTTTCAAAATTCAACGTCAAATAACAAACATATGAAACATGAACATGAACCAACAGACGGAATTCAATAATACTGGAGCTATTTAGGAAATTTCTGTACAGGAAATGAAATCAATTCAAATGGCGAATGCAACAATTCTTTGATAAAACCATATAACTTCTGAAAAAAAATCTATCACCTACCTCCTCTCCGAACATCATAGGAATTTTCATTCGTGCGCTCCAAGAGAGGAAAAAGAAGATAAAATAATGAATCAAAAGTCAATTCCATATAATATGTTTCTACCACTGACATTATAACTACTATCTAGACCGCTATATATGTCATTTTCCAGCATCTTGAACATCCCCCTCAGGGGCTCAAGACTTATGAGTAAAGATATGGTTCACCCGAGGTACCATAACAGAATACTCATCAATCTTCAACTTGTCTTGGATGGTGTTCTCTTTACTTTTTAGGTTTCAGTATTTCATATCGGTCTCTCTTGGCCAATTGTTCAATTATCCCTCTTTCCTAAAGCACCACCTCACCATGCTCGGCAGATAGAGCATTTTGTAGACATTTGTTGGCATCACTCAGATGGGATAGTTTGTGGACATAATTATGTCTGAGAAGATGGGGCAGTTTGCTAATGTGGCAGCCGATTGATTAACGCTTTGGCAACCTATTCAGATGGTTCTCTTGATGATTCCAGAAAAAATAGACATAACCTAAATACTACAAGAAAATAATTGAAATGTTAATATACAATATTACTTAGATGTTTTGAGTAACATCAGCCATACGGTATGAAGTAACATTGATTTTATATAGTTCATGATATATTTATATAATATTCACCATCAACATCACATTGTTATATTTAAAAGAGGCAATAAGGCCCATTGCCGCAAAGTATCTGTGACATTAGGCATCTGCTAGAATAACATCACAAAGTAACAATGTAATATAACATTTATATCTGAGTTATATTTTCATATTAAGTGGGTTGTATTTCAGAATATTCAATTGACGTTATCTGATATACAAGTGACTATTCTGAAATACAATTGAAACTTTCTGAAATTGAATTGACGCTTTCTGAAATACAACACTGTAAAAAGTGAAGTCTTAATAGTCCAGTCACCCTGTACTTCACAATGGGGTTTCCTGGAAAAAGGTCCGAAGTTAACGATCTTTTCATATGATGGATGTGGCAAGTCTGTGGTATAGAATTCAAGTTTTCCAAATCGAGGACCCTGTGCTAACTTCAGGGCATCCGAAAAACTAGTAAATTTTCGGACTTTTTTCAATATTTTACTTATAACTCCTGAACAACGCGTTCAAGCGGAAAACAAGAAGTTACAGAACTTGAAGAGGATTAAATTTCCTACAATTATCATCTATCACTTATTTTTTTCACCGAATACATACCGAGATATAGCGCTTCAAACTCTCACAATACCGAAAAACTGCTAGAAATTCAGGTTCTTCACTAGTATATTTCATCTTCGATCATTTTCAAATGGGTATACAGGGTGTTAATAAATAAGTGTAACAACGGAAAACTGTAGATTCCTCATAAAAAAAGAGGAATGTTTTTCCTTTACGAAATTTTTCTCCGGGCTTCCGTTTTCAAGATACAATTCCATAGTAGTGTTCGATGGATACCCAAGTGACGTTGCTCATCAGAGCACCAAAGCAGCTGAAACACTGCCACAAGAAAAATTCTTGTCCAACGACACAAACAAGGAGAATTTCATTTCGTTGCTGATGACTCAGATGGATGGTTTTGAGGTTAAGCAGGCAATAGAAGATGCTGATGTCATGATAGTGAAAACTGCGATATCTAAAGCTTCTGACTTCGATAGTGTTACTATTATAGGTGAAGACGTAGATCTGTTAGTATTGCTGACTAAGTTGGGCTCATCTCTAAAGAACGTGTATTTCCAAAAGAGTGGGAGAGGTAATGCTCCTAGAACTTTGTATTCGTCATCATCTTGCAAATACAATACTCAGGATATTCTTTTCCTCCATGCAGTTAGCGGGTGTGACACTACATCGAACTCTTTTGGAGTGGGAAAGAAGAAAGTCGTCCTCTCTATTTATGAGAAAAACCATTTTCTGTCTGACAATGTTAGTGTTTTCGAAGATGAAGATGCAACACCACGCCAAATTTCGGTAGCAGGAGGAAAATTTCTTGTGGCACTCTACGGTGGAAACATAGACACACACACACTGTGGACGATCTTCGCTACCAAATATTCTCGAACTCTGTGGAAAATCCAGATTTCACCTTGCCCGATTGCCCCCTACACGAGACGCTGCCCGGTACCATTCTTTTAGAACTTATTCACAAGTGCAGACGTGGCTGGGCAACGAAAAGTCACCGTCTGTTTGCGGCTGGACTCTCACAAAACGAGGGTTGATACCCATAACAACGACCACAGATGCAGCTCCAGAAAAGTTGCTGCACATGATACAATGTAAGTGCATGACAGGTTGTAGCACCGGAGCTTGCAGCTGCAAAAAAGCGGGACTCCGGTGTTCAGCCATCTGCAAGAATTGTGCAGGAAATGCTTGTGAGAATTCGCCTGAAACCGAACTCAACGAGGAAGATACCGACATTGAGTGCGACGAGGAGGTCGTCATGGAAGAGACCATTGCTCAGGACGAAGATGACGACCTGTCATTGGGAACAACAAAGTGAAGGCTTTTCATTTGTAATCATTTTACTCAGTTAATAAATTGAAATCTTATTGAGAAAGAGGTTTCCATTGTTCAGGTTATTGAAAGTTATTAATATACGGATATTGAAACGTGGAAGATAAAAGTTACTTGAGAAAAACGTGCATTATTCGCAGTTTTTCAAATTTTGAGCAACGGTTTATCGATGTAAATTGTTGAAAATTTTATGCTCTACAACTTTTGTAATAGAGTATTTTTGACTAAAGTGCTTATTTTAGTAGTAATAAGCAAAATACTGGAAAAAGAGGCAAACATTTTTGGTCATTCGATTGTCCTGAAGTTTGCACAAGGTTCTCGAATTGGAAAACTTGGTTTTCACACCACGAAATACCCACTTACAACATATCAAAAGATCATCAACTTCGGACCTTTGTCCAGGTAAAATGTACCTGGTGACTGGACTATAATGGAATTAGCGGTCTAGTTAGTATAATTGATGTCGTTGGTTTCTATGAATATCGGCCAGTCCTTCCACTCTTGTAACTTCCTGGAACCTCTTTGTCTCTGTGCATAGTTAAAATATGATTGACCAGATGATGCTTCCGTTTGGTTCTGTGGTCGCAATAGTCACACTTGAATCTCGGCTCTTGACCACAGTCGAACTTTTGGTGCGATTTCAAGGAGGTTATGTGTTGGTAGATTTTGAAGCAGCTGTTGCACTGAAAGCTCTCTGAAAAATACAGAGGTCAGAATTGAAGATTGGGGATGGGCAAAATATATCGAAGTTTCTTGAACACTGGTAAATACCCCCAGAACATTGATATGAAAGAGTGAGTCAATTTCCATTTTATTGATTCGCTCTTGAAGAATTTGCTGATCAAACATGAACTCCCCCGGCATGTTCTCCTGACATTCTTGTTAAATTAACCAACATTTATGAATAAATCCATGAAAAAAACATTCGAAAAATCATTTTCTGCCAAAGTACTTTCACATCACGTCAATATCTTATTTTTAAAAGAAGACACCAGTGTTTTGAGGAAGTATGGCGTTTTTCAACTTTTTTTACCAATAATCAGAACTTACATGAACTTATTGATCAAAAACTTCAAGAATTAATATCACATATTTCTACCTTACTTTCTTAGCACTTACCGGAAAATCAATTACAAAAAAACAAACAAGAAGCAGACCTGTAGTCAATAACGAGTATGCTCTCCTCGTTATTGAATTACAGCATTCAACCGAAGTGGCATCGAATTGATCAAATTACTCAAGTAGCCTTGAAAAATTGCCTAAAATCCTCCTTGAAGGGCGAATCGTTGCTCTTGAAGAGTATCTGACAAGGCTGGGCGAAGGCGAATGCGCCTCTAGAGGTCACCCCTAAGATAGGTAGATAGGTTCTGAATTATTGTTATTGAAAATTACAAAAATCTATCCTTCCTTGAAACACTTATCTTCTCTCGAAAAGGAGATATTGACGTTATTCAAGAACTGTTGTATGAAGAAGGAACAAAAGAGGATCACACTTCAATTTAAAACATGCATTGAAGTAGAAGGATGGAGAATGGTTCTGAATTATTGTGAATAAAGAATTCATACTCTCTTGAAACACTTCTATCTTCCTTTAAAAAATGGTTATCGACGTGAATAAAGAACCATAATGTAGAGAAGAGATCACTCTTCAATCTAAAACATAATGAAGCTAAGTTAAACCACTCACCTTTCCCACACGGCGTTAAGAAGTTAAGGGTGAAAACGTAACTTTCGTTTTTTCCTATATGATGATCGAGTCATCAGATTTTCTTAGGAACTAATATTTGAGCTTACATTTGGAAACATGGATCTACGCTTTGGTCGGAAATCCACCAAAATCGGACCAGAATTGAAAAAGTTACAGAGCAAAAAATTTGGCTAAATTATTTGGTCGCCGGTTTTTTTTGCCGGTGAGTGTACAAATATCGGCAAATGTAGTTGAAAGGTA